AGGATATTCCTCAGACGCTGCTGGGTGGGTGGCATTAAGTCTATGAGTAGCCAAAAAAAAAAGAGTAAGGGACCATCTGATAGAGAATGAGTCATAGACTGCAGAGAATGCCACCCATATGCAAGTGATTATGTGGATTAGAAAGTAAGCTAGCAAAATGTAATGCATTAAAGGAAGTTATTTTTTAATCATATTGGAAAGGATTTGACAGGAGAATGAAGAGAGGAAGAAAGATCAAACAGAAGTCAAGGAGTCATGAGGGAATAAGTATTTTTGCTTATATCTATCTCTGGGTAGGTGCAGACATCCCTCTCTTTGGGCTGGATTCTAATCACTATGTTGGTGTATATCCAAACTACCACTGCAGTGATTGCAGCTACACTGGACTTGTACCAGTGCAACTTTTACCAGAGTCTGAATCCCTCTTACAGCTGTTTTTTACCTTAATTATTTATCCTCGCAAAGGGGTGGTTAATTCAAAGCCAGAATCTCTACCTCATTATATAAACAGTGCTGAGTGACTGCAGAGCCAGTGTAGAAGGCTACAAGATCAGCATAGTGGCGTTATGAAGTGCAGACTGCACAGAAGTAAATTATTACACAGACTGGGGCAGCAGACAGCCAGCTCTGTGGCATTCCATGTTGTGGAGAGTCCCTGTAACTTTTCTCTTGGGAGCAGAGAGGTTCCCTATGCATGTAGTCAGGGATCCCATGACATGCCTCTGGATTTAGGAAGATCTGTCAGCGGGAAGGAGCATACATGCAGAGACCACCCTTCTGCTGGTCTCTGTAGTACAGGGTTTTACAAGGGCTGCCTTTAAGGACAGAGTCCACAGCATGAAGAAAGGGGAATTGTTATGTAGTAACTTTGAGCCACCTTTTCTGCAAGTTGGTGGGGATTTTCCATCACCGTACTGTGGGTTTGAGGATAAACTCCAGTCCAGAACAGGTTATTCACTTGGAGTTGTTCTGCATTGAGATCTGTAGGCCTAAGCAGTCTTCCATGGAGTCCAAGGGATACTCCTCTCCAGAATACCATTCTCTTCTTAGATACCTGTAGGTCGCATTGCTTCCTGAAACCATAAAACACTGTACTCAGCAG